CACTTCGACAAATTTAGAATGCAAATGTGATTCTTCGTCGGAGGGGAAGGGGTATTTATAGACCCCCCCACCAACGGTCACTACACGTGGCACTCACCAAATGGCCACATCAACGGCCACCACTGGGGGGCCACCACGTCACCAACGGGCCAGGACCAACCCATATCAACGGCCCACTGGCAAATCAGACTCTACGGCCTACACACGCTCAACGGCTTTACAACTGCCAGCAAGCGCCCTCAACGTCCCATTTGCTCACCAATATCACAAATGCCAAACAATAAGAGGATGGCAACGGCCAGGTACGTAACGGCCACAGAACAAAGGGAACAAATAGCCCACAGCCTTCGGCTCCTCGTAATAACCCTTGATGATAACTCTCTACAAGCGATCTGCGCACAAGGGTTCTCCCACAGGGTTACCTTGGCCAGAAAATCGCCATGAGAGTTGGATTCAGGGGGACTACGGCGAGACCGCTTCGGCCAAGGACTCAGGCAACTCCTTCACCCCTCACTCTCTTCGGCCTGAAGCAGTGGGGGACTGGGGGACTACACCGGCCTCAACGAAACAAAGGTATAAACAAGGTAACCACAAAACATGGCCACATCATCCATACAACACAACAGAACCTCATCGGCCAAAGGCCCATAACGTCACTAGCAACGGCCAACAAGCCACTAGAGGCAAGGACACTCATCGTCCTCCGCCAACAATTAATCTTGACGGGCTCTTCGGCCAAAAACACAAAGGAACAACCTCAACGGCCTCACCGGCCCAAACGTAAACTTCAAACACCAACGGCCAGGAAAGGGAAAGCGCGCCCTCAACGGCCACCATTGAAGGAAGGACACTCATCGTCCCAAAACACATTAAGGAAATGACGGCCTCCCCGCCCACAGCAAGGAACAGGTAACGGCCAAAGCACAGAATAGGATCACCAGAGAGGAAACAACGCCAACGCCACAACGGCTAACGGCCTGGAAATGCCCGCGTCGGCCAAAAGCAACAAAGCACAGAAATCTACTCTCCTTCACTTCGTCTACGTCTCAGCTTAGAGAGTGGGGGGACTCCTGATGGAGTATATGGGTCTGAGCCCCAGGACCCACATACTCGGAAGAACAGAGCACAAGACAGAGTGGCGCCCTCGTCGGCCAAACGCCCTCGTCGACCGAGAGGAAGCCAACCCGGATTATGATCCCGAGTCCAAGGAACCCGGGTGCCCCCGTCGGCCGTGCCCTCGTCGGCCGTGCCCTCGTCGGCCACGACCTCGTCGGCCACGAGGACCTCCCAGAATCGGATCCTACACTTACTCACTTGTACAGCCCATTAGTGGCTCTGTATTCGGCCCAGTAGCGGTCCAGTTGTAAATGGGCCTCCCAAGCCCAAGGCTTGGAAGCCCAACCCTAATTTTCTCTATAAATACTCCCCTTGGGAGTAGTTGTAGGGGTGACAAATTCATTCTATTGAAGCATATTATTGCACTTCTCTCTCTAGCTCTCACTTCTCTCTAGAATCTAAGAGAGATACTCTATCAATTACATTCAATATGATTTAATTTAATTTCAACTGCATCCTTATAAATGTTGTGGGTGTTTTAAATTATTATGTACTTACCACCGTAACATTACATTTATCAAAAAATATATACTAATAGTGTTAACAAAACTTTTTTTTAAAGTTTAGGGTATATATACTTCATGTGCAACTTTGGGGTACTAATCTCACACCCCTTAAGACTAATTGGAGTGGTGAGGTATTAAGAGTCCAAAATGTCAAAAGTGACAATTGAGGACTCCTAATTACATACATCAATGAGTTAAAAAGCGTATTAAAAAGAAATAATTGCATTATTAATACTCCCTAAGTTTCTAGTTCAAAAAATATGACCACTTTTTTATTTTCCAAAAAAGTGACATGTCACTCCTCCTCCGCCGCGTGAGAATGAAACTTAAGTGCCAGATATCTACGCACAAGTCTTCTTCCCTCCGAAGATAGCTAAGATCTGCACATGACCATCCTCCGCAATCATTCCCCTTTGCGGTCATAAGAAGTCTTCGACCGGACATCTCTGCGTTCCAACTCCTCTGCTGAAATCAGATGAAGTCTTCTCTAGATCGGAAATCTCTAGGTTCCACCCTTGCTCCTCTACAGAAATCGGACGAAGTCATCTCCCAGATCGGAGATCTTTGCGTTCCAGCCTTGCTCCTCTACGGAAATCGAATGAAGTCTTCTCCCAGATCGGATATCTCTGCATTCCTCTCCTAGATCGGAAATCTCTTCATTCATGTCCCAGATCCGACGAGACTCCTCTGCGCTCCACCGTTCACAGTTGCTGCTCTGCCACCTCCACCAACCAACCATCGTAGTCCCTTCCCCTTTCGTCTCCTTTCTTCTTCGTTTTTTGGGAGGCGGAAATGGTGAGCGTAGTCTGCCAAGGTTGCAGGGGTTGGGGCTGGGAGAGTGGTGGGGGATGGGGATGGGGATGGGGAGGGGGGTGGTAGGCTGGGGAGGGGACTGGTGGACTGGGGAGGGGGCTGGTAGGCTGGGAAGGTCACGGTTAGGGAGGGGGTGGTGGGATGGGGAGGGGCTAGTAAGCTAGGGACGGGGGAGGGGTTAGGTATGGGGTTGGGGAGGCGGCAGTGGCGGTGCCGTTGGTGTGGCGGCCAAATTTGATTGAAATTTACATTTCCGGCAATTATAGTGACACCGACGACGGCAATGACACGTTTGACAGCGACAAAGTGACACGTTTGACAGCGGCACGGTGACACGTTTGACGACGGGCGTGACATATTAAAGTGACATAAAACTGACAATGACATTCAAAAGTGACATAAAATTAGCGACATAAAAAATATCAGTGACATAAAAATCTGGCAAAATCATGTTTTTCTAAAATTATGATCTCCTTAATCACATTTTTGTCCTTTTGTAAAAGTGGTCACATTTTTTGAAATTAACTCTAAATTAGTAATATTCATGTAAAAAGCCCTATTAAAAATGAGAATGGTGAGGGATGTGGTTAAATTTAGAGGGGGTATTGACACCCAAAAAGAAAATGAAAAAGAAAGTAAAACAGGGGAGTGATGGCGGATGGGATTGGTGTGAAGAGGGAAAAGGCAAGGCCATGTGTGGCAATTGACTTGAGTGATGTCATAGTGACGTCGTGATGACGTCACTAAGCACCCACGACGGCTTGCATTTAAAAAAAAGTTTGGTAGATCTATGGCATTTTTAACTTAAAAAAATTGATCTAATGTAAAAGAAATATTAATGAATTTTATTTATTTTTACCTCGAAATGTGTCTTTTTTATTGCATATTTATTCAAAGAAAACATTAAAAGGAAAACATTACTTATAATAATATAATTAATATTTTGCTAAATTGATATATAAAAATATATGCAGAGTGTATTTCATTGACGGTGCTGGTATGTAGAAAATAGGAGTCAAAACATTGTTTTTTCGTATGGACGGAATCCATTTTTCACATTTTGGAATCCATACCATTCCAAATGATCTAAAAGTTTGGGATACTTAATTTATTCCCCCTTATTATTAAGGTTTATAGTTGAATAGTTATTTAGTAGTTGATTTTTTTTAATGGTTGTGATTTGTGAAATTGTGAATGTCTTGAGAGTGCTGTTTAGGATGTTTTTACTTTGACTGAAATTTTCTGGTCTGATCCGATCCGGTCTGAATTGGTCTAGTTTGGTATTATAAATATTTTGTGTTTGTAAATTTTATAATTGTCGAAGTATGGTATGATGTGAGATGGAAATTAGTCCAATTAAAAACGTCCTTAGCCTTTTTCAGTAAAACATGTAAACTGCTTCTTTACTAGAAAACTTCATACCAAGGGCCTTTAATTTAACTTTTGTTTCCTATTCATATGTTATTCCAAACAAATATACATGTTCAAAATAATACAAGACACAACACATTATTTTGTTTGTCCACACATACAATAGTATACTTGTTTTGTTTTCACCAAATTCATCTGTACATAAACAAATACAACCATATCTCCGAACACTTTTATATAACCACATTAACAATTACTAAACTCATCAAAATTTACTATAAATATAGTTATACCAATACTTGCATGTGCATACAGACAATGGTTCTATGTAGACACACAAATGAGTTGTCTGTGCGACATACATTTTAGTTCAAGGTTTCACCAACTATGAACCATCTTTGAGTATACAAACACTACACTTACAAGTTGTCACATGCAACCCTTTTTATTTCGAAAACACATCAAAAAATAAAGAAAACAAAATTAAGAAAACGAAATTAGGAAAAGAAGATCTGCTCAAGTCATTCAAAACTTCTTAGTCCGCACCTTCTTCATTGCTTCTTGGTCACCGAGCTTTTCCCGTTGATCCTATTACTGTAGCTCTTGCATTTGAAACGAAAAATAAAGGCGGAAGAGGAGAGAAGCATGAGAAGAAGGTTGGTGGGGGAAAAGATGGTAAAAATGAGAAGTCTTGAATAAGGGAAGAGATTTTGAAATGAAGAAGAAATCAGGATTTAGAGAAAAAAGAAAGAAATAAGAGGGGATGGGGGCTGCGTGAAAAGAAAAAAATGCAAGAGAAAGGGAGGGAGCACAAAAGTGGAGGAGAATTTTTACATGAGTCATTCTATTTGTACACGTTCTTATACACGTTCTTATACACTTGTCTGTGACAGGTCATTTTTTTTGTCTGTGAATCAACGTGTTTTGTCTATCACAGACAAAAAAATATCCACAGACAAGTTTTGTCTGTGAATCTCGTTCACAGACAAAAAAATGACATACACAGACAAGTGTATAAGAACGTGTATAAGAAAACGTGTACAAATAGATTTGACAAAAAAATATCCACAGACAAGTTTTGAGTTCACAGACAAAAAAATGACCTACACAGACAAGTGTATAAGAACATGTATAAGAAAACGTGTACAAATAGATTTTTTGTTTTTACGGGGTAGAAATGATACATTTCGTACATATACCAAAATTGCTAAATTGTTTTTACATTTTTTTAAGAATAAGTCACCCCCCGCCCTAGGCCCTGAAACCGGCGGAACCTGCCCGGAACGCAAGCAACTGATAACAGACTGATCAGTACGGCAGTACCCTACCGGGCTGGGAAAATGGCATCAGCGTGTTTGCTGCTTCCACTAGGTAAGAGTGTAAGACATTTGAGTTATTCAAGTCTTCATTCGCTGCAGATCAGCTTACTCATTCCTAGTTAATTTTTGTTCTTTATCTTCTTTTCTCTTGTAATTGATACGACGCTTGTTGTTTGTTATTTGCTCACCTAGTGTTTGCCAATTTTCGTCCATCCACTATTGTGTTTGACATTTTTGGTACCAGAGTTTGAGTTTGAGTTTGGCGGATCAATTGTTGCCTCAGAATAGGCAAATTACTACAAGTGTTATTTTTATAGAAGGTGAAAGACTAAAACGAAAGTTTTCATTTTTAAATATGGGAAAAAGGGTGTGCCTTGTCAGAATAGTGAAAGGACCAAAATTGAAAAAAAATCAAAGTCGAGTATTAAAAGTAGCACTCAACAGTCAATGACCAAAAGAGTTCAAATCTCTTGGCTTGCTCAATTGACAATTTTAGCTCAAGCCCCAACTTCTCTGGCTCTTGTGCTCTTTTTCCTTCTTGATTGAGTGTTTCATATTAATTTGCATCATGGAACAAGAAATTTCCTTTATATTGTTTTGTGACTGTATCTAGGAAGAGGGTCCGGTTAGGCTGCTTAGCGTGAGGATTGGGAAGTCTTTTATGTTAAAATTCTACACTTTTTTGCAGTAGGGAAAAAGTGTTGTCGCGTTATTCATCTTTTTTAGCATTGTTGTCATTCTTGGAGCGAGAAGATCTTAAAGCAATACATCAGTTCATTCTCATCTTTATGTCACCTTAAGCCTCTTCTCATGGGATTTCCTTAAGGCCTCTTCTTGATCCAACATCTTGTTAAGTCGTCTTCTCATGGGAATATGTTTTGGAACATAATTATCTAGGTGATTATATTTGAATTGGAATGATTTACTTTAGGTGTTGTACATTGCAATTTGAAATTTATTTGTGTGTAGGTTGTATATTTGGCAAAACCAATTCCACCAATGGTAAAAGATCATACAAAATAAATATAGGTGCTGAAATACAATCAGTAAACACTATTGAGCATCAGAATGGGTATGCTGTGATGAACCGCAGAAGCTTAATGAACATAGGAGTTGGACTTCTAAGTTTCGAGAGTGGCTCTACATTTGTTAGAGCTGCTGGATTGCCCCCCGAAGAGAAACCAAAACTGTGTGATGAGTCATGTGAGAAAGAGCTTGAAAATGTATGGTGAGATTATAAAGCTTCTTAACCTTTTAATAATCTTTTATTTTGATTGATATATGTAATAATAATTTGCATCAAGATGTCATCATCTCAGTTTTATATTAATTTCAATTGAGTAGTTCTTTTTCACTCTCACTCTCATTTTACCTTATTTTAATATTTTGAGAGACATTTTTCCTCTCATCCACATTTTAAATGAATGATTACTCTGATATGGGCTCATCTCTAGTTTTTCAAATTTGATTAATGCCGTGTACGCACTGACATTAGAGTGAGCTGGTAAAAGGCTAGACACCCCTTTCCAAAGGGCTTGTTTGGCAGGGGGAGAGTTTTTTCATCTTAAGAAAAACGTTGCTTTACCTTGATTCTTTTTTAATGAATGATATAAGTTGATAAATTAGTATAAACTCATTGATATAGCCATTAATTATTATCATAAACATTTTACAGTTTACTTAATAGAAACAATAGTTTTCTTCGTACACGCTATCCTTAGAATGAGCTGGTAAAGTAGTCAACACTTTTGTATTATACTGTGACTAACTAATTGAGAATTCTCTCTTTACTCTGGAAAAACAAATCCATTAGGTCATAGGTGAGCTCATCAAATTAAAGAATCTTGAATCTCTAATATGTTAGACTGTAAATATTATTGGCTCTTTAAGGTACCCATGGTAACTACGGAGTCTGGGTTGCAATACAAGGACATTAAAGTTGGCCGAGGACCTAGTCCTCCTGTTGGATTTCAGGTAGGTACATAGCACTAATATATGGTCATGATCTACTGATGTTAATTAGATTTTTTATTGAATCCAAATATCATCCTTATTCTCATCTTGCAGGCAAAATATGTGATGTTAATTAGATTTTTATTGAAGCCAAATATCATCCTTATTCTCATCTTGCAAATAATTGAAATAAAGTCTGTGCATATGTCCATGTAATGGAACTATGGAAGCATCATATGAGAACTTGCAAAACTAAATGATTGTTTGGTTTCATTTTAAGCTGTAGAGTAATTGCAATCATGAGATACACCCCAAAATTCAAATGCACTGGAGATATACATTAGGGCTATGTTGAGCTGAACAGGACAAACTAAATTTTTCTTGACTATTTTGGTATAGTCTTTTTCATTTTTCCCATTTACCCACCCCCATTTAGGTTAAGGTTATCCCCTTCTCCCTTGAGAATTTATTTACACCTTATATATCTGCAGTCAGTAGATGATTCATCAGGATATATCATGGATTCATGGTTATCATATACCTAGCAATTTATCGTCCTTTTGAGTTTGACGAAAATTAGTAACTGCTATGTGCAAATAAGCATACTTTAGAGGGAATAATCAGAATAACAAAAAACATGAACACAAGCAGGCTCAAAAGAATATGAGCATTTTTAGAAGAAAAATTAGCAACCATTAAAATTACAATAAAATGCCACTAGTTGTAAGTATCCTGAACATATGGACATATGATATAATTTGCATTATATTTGTGAGCTATTACTGGAAAGTTAAATGGATAACTGCCATTTGAATTACATGGTTGATACTGAAAGACTGACAAAAGTTTAGGGATAAACATTTCGCATTTTTGTTTTGCTTTACTTTTCCACAGTGATAAATGCAGTCTCAAAATCTAAATGTTTGAACTGGAAAGTTAAATCCGCAAACTACCATGTAAGTTAGGAGTAATTTATTATCAAGTAGCATTTACTGGGTTCTTCTTAATCATTGCCATAAACCATCAATGGTTGTTATTGGGTATAGCTCAGGCCTATCTTTTATCGGGTAAAGAATGAAAAGGGAAGGGGGTTCACCTACCAGTAGCCAGTAGGAATTCATGTTACAGGTTGTCTTTAGGTTTAGGCCATAGTATTGTACTTTTGCTGTTTTCATTTTATTGTTGTTTGCATAAGTAAAAAAAATAAAATAGCATTAAAAAAGTAACGCTTGGTTCAACTGTGTTGGGTAGTGCTATTGTGTAAGGTCAACAGCTTGTTCTCCCTCTGGCTTTTCAGCCATAGCTATCTATGAAGTTGATATTGAATGATAGAACTTTAGGGATTATAATTTCTCATTTTTGTTTTGCTTTGGTTTTCCGTAGTAATAAATGCAGTCTCAAAACCCCAATGTTTGAATGGGGCCTCTCTCCCTAAGATATTATGTCTATCTGAACAGGTAGCTGCAAATTATGTTGCAATGGTTCCATCTGGCCAAATATTTGACAGGTAATGATTATTTACATAAATATATGTTCCAGGGTTTGTTTTGGTGAAACCGTGAAAGCATTATTCTTCATGCCGCATTCAACACCCTAAACCTGAGTTTTTCATATGTGCCTTTAAATTATAGAAATAGTAATTTAATTGTCATGGCTGCATTTTAGTAGTATTGCAGTTACCTATTCTTATTAGCTCTAAACGTTAAAGTTATCGGGTTTCCTTTAGATTCAAGGTTTAAGTTTCCTATTCTGATGGGGTTTAGGTACATTATTCTCGATTTAAGCATTGTAATAGTCTCTAGGAATTATGTAGTTGCAAGTTCAGAGTTATGTCAATAAAAAAGTAGCAGTATATTATTCAAGATCTGCAATGGATAAGCATGAAAAATATGTATGCAAGTCATTTCCTAATTCCACATCCTTTTCCTGTTTCTTAAAATGTTTATGAATTCATAGTTCACTGGAGAAGAGGCAAGTATACATTTTCCGGGTCGGCTCTGGTCAGGTGAGATTATCAGTGTTTGCATTCACATTTTACAGTTTTCTTCCTGTATTTCCTTCATATATGGTTTGACATTTCTGAAGAGTGTTGCTAAAATGCTTGTTGCATTTTGTACTATTATAAATTCTATATTTGAAATTAGGATGTGTGAAATAATTCACTTAAAATGGTAATCAATGAAAAATGTCTTCAGAACTTAATGAACGTATTCCATTTTACCACAACATCTATCACTTTGTGTTGTGTAAGGTCATCAAGGGGCTAGACGAAGGGATCCTCAGCATGAAAGTGGGAGGAAAACGCCGCCTCTACATCCCCGGACCAGTTAAGACTATCCAACTTTCTTCTGTTTCAGAATTCAGATAATGCATTTATGTCATTATTATTATTACTATTATTATTACTATTGTACGGCAAATGTAACCATAACTCCTAAGAATATGAATTTGTTCACTGGGACTTGTTTAAGTCTCTAAGTAGAACAAAGATAAATAATACGTAGTAATAATACTTCGTATAACAATATAATATACTCCCTCCGTCCCATTAGAAGATTCTCACCTTCCTTTTTTGGACGTCCCATATAAAAGTTCCCATTTCCATTTTAGGAAACAATTAACAATCTTAAGTGAGAAATTAATCATCAAATATTAAAAATAATATCACAATTATCAATACTGACTACATTATAATATATACCTATTAAATTTATTTCTTAAAATATACTCGAAGTACTTTATTTAAATATTGTCTAAATAACCGTGTCGTTTTGCTATGGGAACCTTCCAACAGGACGGAGGTAGTACGTAATACATAATATTAAACAGAAATAGACCACGTCAGGATAAACTAGACTTGAACAAGACATAGACATATCAGAAAAGATGGACAAAACCTGACTTGAACGCATGCATATGAGAACAGCTAGATAGACAAGGCTTGCACAGTTCAGACTAGACAAGTTGACAAAGTAATCAGGTCCTTTTGTTTAGACATTAATGATCATGAAACTTTCTATCTAATTTTCAAGAATTAGACAATTTTCTGTGACAGAGGATTCTTAGTTGAAATAGTTGTAGTTGTAGTGCTAACTGCTAAGCATGGAGAATATTTATCGATGGTTTAATTAGTTTGTGAAAAATGAAAATCATCAAGAATATTTCTCAAATTTCTTAAATGATATCCCTAAGGTCATTAAACTACACTGTTGGGGCTATGATTAAGGATCTTTCTCTGGAAGGAAAACACTTGTTACAGTTCCTCTGGCTAATCGACCAACACTAGATGACTAGAGTGTTGGTGAATTTTTTTATGCTGATACCAACTTTTATATTTATTTTTATAGCTGGCATTTCCGAAGGGTCTGACATCTGCTCCGGGAAGGCCACGTGTGCCTCCCAGCAGCCCAGTTATCTTCGATGTGAGTCTAGAGTACATTCCCGGACTTGAGGACGAGGAGTAAGGTCATTCAGCATTTACTCATCACATTGCGCTACTCCCCATTCATTTTTTTATATCCACACGCAATTGCATGTAAACCTCAATGAACGAACATTGTAATCCCCAATTTTGTGTTACCACCTAACAGAAGTAAAAACCCCCTACTTCCCCAACGTGTTTCGAAAAAAAAGGAGAAAACTGTTAAAAACATTCATTTAGGAACTATGATGCACAAACATACATAAATCAAGGGGGTGTCCCCAACTTTGAGTTTGAAAGATTTCGGAGGATTATGGATTTCATAGGATATTAATGGAATTTGATAGAATCACAGATTTTAATGGAATTTGAGAGGTTTCAGACCGGTGCCGGTCAGGGCCCAACCAGGGCCGGTCGGGGGCGCCCCGGTGGCAAAATATTGAGTTTTTCGTCCTAAATCGATCCCGATTATCGCAATTCACCGTTTGACGACTTACAGAACACACACAAAACACAATTTGGTAAAAATGATACAAAATGATAAAAAGTATTAATAACACAATATCCATTAGTTTGCAGGTGAAAATACGTTAAAAAGTAAAGTGTTTCTAGAAAATTTAGTGTACATCACTGGCCTGCCCATCCACAAATGAAGCACCATTGTGCAAATACATACCCTCTTCCTCTATAACCATGTACTGCTTCCTCTATAACCATGTACTGCTTCCTCTATAACCATGTCCAGTACAACAACATTTGAGGAGTTCCCTTCATTGACACCTGCATTCACACCATGCCTAGATACAACAGTATTTTATGTTGACGGAGCTGTAGAAGAGTCACCTATGGATTCCTCAATGTAAATCTCCAACGATGACATACTCTCCATCTGAATTAGTGACCACGTATTTGTGACAGCTAGCTCATCAAAAAGTGGCATAAACATGAAATCCCCCCTGTTAAGGGGAAATTTCATTTTCAATCGCAAAGAATGGCTTAGAGGAATCATCGTAGCAACATGTATTTTTTGAAGCATCTCGAGCAAACATGCGCCACGAGAAACAATGACAAAGCTGCTTCTACCATCTTCGTGACATATTTGGCCAACATCCTCATAATAGTTCCCTCCCCAATGATACACGATTGGGAAGTTGGAGAAATCCATATTCTAATAACAATACATGATGATAATGGATGAATACACATTAATATACACACTTTACAAGATTTAAATTCAACATTTCATACATTTTCACATTTCACAACAAACCAATTCACAAATCAATTCCTACTTTACAAATTCTAAAATTATGAATTGAAATCCTAGGTTGAAAAATGAGATGAAATTGGGGATTTGATGTACCTAGATGTTGAAGAAGATGATTGGGGAGTGTATTTGGTAGGTGGAATGGCCTCCTAGTAGCTGTAGTAGCCAGAAACCGTTGCTGCAGTTGCTCTTCGCCGGACCAAATTTTGTTGTTGCTATCGTTCTATCTTGTTTTGCAAGGTCTGGTCACAGTTTATTAAAGAAGAAAGTCGACAAACTATTTGGCGACTTATAGGTCGTCATCCCGGTTGGCGACTTATAAGTCGCCAAACCGTTTGGCGACTTACCCCGACTATGGTTTAACCCAACAATAGATCGGCAAATACTTTTAAGTTTTAACCCAACATTATTTTCGTAATAAATTAATTAATTAGCATTAATCCGGAAAAAACTCATAAAATAGTACTTCGAAATATTAAAGAAAAAACTCCTCATGACTGAAATATTATATCAAATTATCAGACTTTTTTTTTATCAAATTATCAGACTTATAAATGGATATATTGAACCATGTGGTGGTCTGAAAAAAAAAGAGACCATATTTCATTTCATAAAATAATTGAAATGAATTAAACAAGCTATTTTCCCAAACTGAAATAAATTGAAGTCACGACACCAAGCGCGTAAGCCCCAATCGCCGCCGCAACAAGATCCTTCCCGGGCTTCACGACTGCGCCAAAGCCCGCGATCCCCACAACACCGAGCGGCACACTCTTTAAAACTTCCTTCCCTGCCCTTGAAACGACAGCCTCGGCAAACACCTTCACCTCGAATTCCTTGAACTGCGCCTCGTCCAATGTGATTTCCTCTTCTCCGCCCGTTCGGCGGGAGATAACGGTCTTGAGAGCTTGGTCCACTTGGATCCGGCCGGGAGGGTTAGGGACCCACCTGGAAACTAATGGGACGGTAGAAAAGAGGATGGCGTGGAGGCGCTCGGTGGCGGAGAAGAGCTGGTAGGGTCTGACTCCGGCGAAGACTAGCTGACTTAGGCTAAGACAGTCGGCGAATACGGCGGTGCAGGCAGAGTCGAACTCCGGCGACGTTTGGAGGGTCTTTACGACTCGTTTGGACAGGGAGAGGCCCATTTTTTTACTTTATTGTAGATTATTATAACGCCTCAGGGATTTTCTAATCTCAAAGAAGATGAAAATATCCCAAAACCTCTTCGGAAATGTTTGCGGACACTCTTCTGTAATCATTATTCATTCAATCAATTATTTTGAGTACATCCACAAATTAGGAGGGTTTTGGACAATCCTTATCAAATAGTGTATTCTATCGTTATAACATCTCCAATGCTATAATGTGCATGATGCACATGTTGCATGACAGATAGTCACAAAAATATTAACAAATAAATTATCTTTCTCCTTATTTGAATGATTTTGTACAATTTTGGTAAGGTTTCTCTGCAATGTCAACATCTAGACGGTCTTCTTGACATTGTCGAGAAAATTTTACCAAAATTGTATCAAACCATTCAAATAAGGAGACAGATAATTTATTTTTTAATATTTATGTGACTATCTTTCGTATCACATGTGCTCCATGCACATTGTAGCATTGGAGATAATCTTATAAGCAAGTCCTATGTAGCACGGAAACTCCGGGGAAAGATTACGTTTCGGAAACTCTACGGAAACTCTTTGGAAACTCTCCAAACAAGTCTTTTTTGAACAAAAGTTGACGTTTCCCGTTTCTCGTTTCCTCATGATTTTCGCGTTTCCGTGCAACATAGTAAGAGCATCTCCAATGCTACAATGTGCATGGTGCACGTGTGGCATGAAAGAGATAGAAACAAAACATTAAATTTTTGACATTTGTCTCTCCTTCTGTACACGACCTTATGTTTTTTTGGTAAGTTTTTCTTAACAATGTCGATCACAATGTGTACATCTATACATTATGCTTGACATTGTAGAGAAAAATTTACCAAAAACATATAAGACGTTCAAATAAGGAGATAGATATTATGTTTGTTGTTTTTTAATTGGCTATCTCTAATGTCACGTATGCACCGTTCATGTTTTTGCATCGAAGATGCTCTAAGCAACACAGAATTATTTACGGTAATATTACCATATATCAAATGATTTCATAAGAGAGTCATATATGTCTTTCAATATTAGATTTGTTTCTTTCCTTGAATAATTTGTGTGGTTTGACTATTACCGTTTTATATTGACGCACTTATATATACTTTTCTTGGTTTCATAATGTTCTTCTAACTTTGGATTGTCACAGTTTTAATGAAATTGAAATATATAATTATGAATACGGACAGAAAAAGAAAAAAAATTATTCATACAAACAATTTTTAAAAGGAAACATGATTTACTCACGATGGAAATGAGAAATGAGAACTGAGAAGTTCTCAATAATTTCGAATCTCTTCACGGTGATTTTAAATTCTTCAGAAATGGATAAAAATTTTTATGCAAATCTCATGAACTTGATTATAATCAAGATAAATTAATTGTGTTGGTTCTATTTAAAAAGAAATCGTTAAACCAAAACACTTGTGTTTGGATTATCAATGAAAAGGGCTAGAATAAAGAAAAAATGTTTGGTGTACACATTTTTGTGTACATTTTTTGTACATTCATCTGTCTCACGCACACACAATTGTCTGCTCACAGGTAATTCTACAGAGTTGTCTATGGACAGACAACTTTGTCTGCGTGAGACAGCCGAATGTACAAAAAATGTACACAAAATGTGGAGCGAATCAAAGCCGAAGCCGACCATTTTGGTGAGACACCGATGGCGGATCAGGGTTAGAAAACTATGAACCAGTTAACGTGCGGACCGACCAATGGTTACTGGACACCATCAATTTCAGAGTGCAAGTGTACTGCCTCACACTCTAGAGTAAATAGAGTAAGCTTACAAAAGTAAAAGTTATTATTGAAATTTGAGTATAATAAAATAAAGTATTTTAGATCACATACTTGTATTTCTTTTCGAAAAACATACGTAGTATATTGCAGGAGGAGTATTTGTTTTGAGGGTTTTGTTTTTTAGCGGGAGGGTACACAGTAGGGGTTGAGTGGTGCCATCAATGTAGGTGAAAAGGTCGTTACAGACCACTCAATAGAGCTTGAAGTTGAATCTTCTATGAGAGCTACGTACGTAGTAGAGTAGCAACATTGTGATCTAAGCCTCTAAGGTGGATAAAAATGAGGGCAGTGGCTTAGTCAGAGCTATATGATGGGTTCGATCTTTCGTTAGTGTTTCAACTTTCCCACCACTTATACAACTTAACTACATGTACTGGTTCTTGACATGCATTTTAAAAAACATGAGGGCGGCTTGGCAAGTCGTCAAATTCAAGTTTCAAATCTTTTTAGTCTAGGTGAAAATAGATGAAGTTTAGCTGTGGAATAACATTTTAGATTTCATTATCAATTACTATTTTATGCCTTTTATGGTAATATATTAATAAAAAAATGAATGTCCAAAAAGTACTAAACAAGATGAGCCTCATTTTTGAGTTTCTCGATATATAGAATTTTTAGTTGTATAGAAAATGCAAATATGAAATGATATATTGCTTCTTTGTTTTACTCACTATTAGATTTCATATATAGCAAGCATGTTTATATTTTTTTTTAATTCAATCAACTTTTTCCTTGCCCAGTTTTCTTGTTCTTTTCATCTTTTTACATCCAGGTCTCACCTTTTGGTGCCTCGAGTCACACATTTCCATGCCTTTGACAATCAACTCTTCGATTGAACATTTTCTCATCCTTTCTACTGTGTTGGGCGGTTTCCTAATTGCTTGACAATAATTACTCTTATTTAATGAAAAATCATGTCAGTTATATTTTAATTATGAAACGTTTTTACTCCTATTTTCGAAAATCTTCCTTAAGTTAATCACCTTTGTACCCATGAATAACACATAAAATTAAACTAAATATATTAAATATTTGGTTCTTAGTATTGTTGTAAAAGGCCCTAGGCACTAGTCGGGCGTCAGCCTAGCGCCTAGCGGCTAGGTATCTAGGCGGAGACTAG